TTGTAGCTGGTTCACATAATTTTGAATGGGACTATTTACCTTTATTTTTCCAGCAACTTCTAAATCCTTAACTAGATTAACCACATAAATAGAATCTGAGATCAAATTCAAGGCCTCAGTGACCCTTTTAATCACTTCAAGAACTATTTGGAATTCCACTATTTGAGGTGATCCTGGTAGAAAATGACAAACAACTGGGGCGCTCTCCCCAGTTACATAAGCACCACAACCAGTCTTGGATCCATCAGTAAAAATATTCACAGCATCCTTAATAGGTTCTTTACAAGTCACTCTTGGGAAAATTACTAGGTGCTCTTTAAAGAAATTTAACACAGGATGTTTAGGATAATGACTATCTATATCCCCATCAAAGCTGCACTTTAGAATTGCCCACTCATCCAAAGATATGACTAAAACTTTTATTTGAGCAGCAGAATAAGGAGTAACGAGCAAATCAGGTTGACATCCAAAATACTGTAAACAAAATCCCCATCAAGGCGAGCATAGCCAGATTAGACAATTTCAAAAATGGTCAATCCAATTTATGTCACCTAATAATTTTTGAAAATCATTTAAAGTTTGTAATGTATCTAATCTGTTATTTTTTTGTTGCACAACACAATCTTTATTTATCTTAGCTCCTAAATAGTTAATAACATTACCCTGCTGGACCTTTTCTGAGGCTATGTATAATCCCTTCCTCTCCAAGGTCTTTACCAAATCTCTATATGCTAAGTGCAGCAATTTCAACTCCTTACTATTTAACAGAATGTCATCCATATAGTGGACACATCTCATAGCAGGGTATTTCTCTCTAATAGGAGCAATAGCATGACACACAAAACTACTCTCTTCAGAATTGTCCTCTTCTGATATCATTGAGTGCTTTTCCTTCAGCTGTTCTAACACCTCCTGCCCCTTCTCAACGGCTCTGCAACATCTCTGATCTTCCAAACAACTTCGAACAAGCCTCCAAATTGGTCTTGCCCCTGGCTTCACTGTCCCCTGCCCCCAAGCAAAGTCTAGGTCTTTCCTTAGCTTATCCCAGCAGCTGGTGGTTAAATTACTGGAATCAGCAAACCAGGGGGCTACCATATCAACCTGTTGGGTAAATCTCTCTAAAGTACTTTTCTTTAATTTCAATTCCTTAGACCATAACAGCTCTTGAAGACCAGATAAATGGGTTGCGTTGTTGAATTCCCCATACTTTCACTTTTTGTTATTTCTACTTTGTCTGTTCATGGGACCTTATCGCTCCTTACCAGAGACCTTATTGCCTCTTTACCGAGGTCCTTAGCTTGTTCCCAACTTACCTGGGACTTACCAGTCGACTGCCCTGACTGCAGGAAGTTCTGAGCTGTTCACCCTCGGAGGTCCCCCTGACGGGCCACCACTTGTTGCGTCTATCTTGACCAGCAAGAGAAACACGACTACGACTCTTCTTCAAACAGTTTATTCAGAAACCTTGTACATCAGCTTCTCTCCTTTCCCAATCCCAGAAAGCCCTTAAGTAGATGCTCAGTGCCCAATCAGCTCATGCCATCTGGCAATCCTGGATAGGCCACAGAAGGAGGAAGTGCCCCAGATGCCTCAAGCACTTCCAAATAAGGCTTGTTTACTGCTAAACTCGGACTACCTGGCATCCAGCCAGACGCCATCTTAGGACTGTGGCTCTCCACAAAAGGGGAACACACCTCCACGGCTGGTGGGAGTGTCTACTTGTACAGTCACTTTAAATATCAGTATGGAGACTCCCCAACAAAATGGGAATCAGTCTACCATAAGATCCAACAATTCCACTCTTAGGCATATACCCAAAAGAAGCACATTCATACAACAAGGACATCTGTTCAACAATGTTCATAGCAGCACTATTTGTAATAGCCAAAAACTGGAAGCAGTCCAGATGCCCTTTACCCAAAGAATGGATAGAGAAAATATGGTACATTTACACAATGGAGTACTACTCAGCAGAAAAAAAAAAAAAAAACAATGGAATCTTGAAATTTGCAGGTAAATGGATGGAACTCGAACAAACCATCCTGAGCTAGGTAACCAAACTACGAAAAGCAAACATGATATGTACTCACTCATATGTGGATTTTAGACATAGAGTAAGGGATTACCAACCTACAATCCACACTACCAGAGTAACTAGTAAACAAAGAGGCTCCTAAAGGAGACAAACCTTAACCCCTGGAGAAGGGGGAAAGGTCATGATCCCCTGAGTAAATTAAGAGTATGGGAAATGTGGGGAGGGAGCTACAAGAATGAGAAGGGAAGAAGTGGAAGGATGCAGAGGTCATGAAAGAGCAGAAAATTTGAATCAGGTGTAGATTAGAAGAAAGGATATGTGATTGATAGGGTTTTTATTGGGTGGTGGTAGGGGAGGAATGGCTGGAGAAAGGAAGGGGATTGTCATGTAATTCAATCTTCCTTGTAATTCAAATAAAAATGATAAAAAAGATATAATTTAAAAAAGAAGAGAATACATAAAATACCCCTTCTGAATTTTTTTTTTCTTTTTCGAGACAGGGTTTCTCTGTGTAGCCTTGAAGCCTATCCTGACACTTGCTCTGGAGACCAGGCTGGCCTGGAATGCACAGAGATCTGCCTGCCTCTGCCTCCAGAGAGCTGGGATTAAAGGGGTGCTCCACACCAATGCCTGGCTCCCTTCAGAATATTTTAAAGAATATTCATGTTTATATATTAGGATGAATATATTTAAAAACCATTGTTGCTTCTATCATAAAGAAAGCCTTGGACACAGTCCTTAATTGCCACAAATTAGGCAGTTTTGTTTCCTGCATTTGGGGTAAGTGTAGGGGTCAGCACACCTGGAATGCAATGGATAAACCTCATCCATGAAAACTACCTTCGTGGTCATGGCGTCTCTTCTGCCAGAAAGTATTAAAAGCCATTTTTATCAGTAGTAATTTGCATTTGTACAGCACTTGGTAATTTGTAAATTATAATCAAGTATTGATCACTTCAAATATGCTAAGAAGTCGACATAAAAATTACATTATCTTAATTTCACAAGTGAGTAATTAAAAAGCTAGTATTTGCACAAATACAGAATATATATTAAAAACTTTAATAGTCAAATTAAATTATGGGTTGTTCAGTTTAAATATTCATTGACATATGTTTGAATCATATGGATAGCCAAGTTTGGGGTGTTTCAAAATTGGAAAGAATGCATTAAAACAGTTGTATAATAAAGGATGGCACATTAGGCAATTCCCGTGCCACAGAACTAACACATGTGAAGAGTGTTTGTCACACTTCATACAAGTTAGCTATGAATCATAAAGTACTGAAATTTTCATATATTTCTTCTTTAAAAATATTAAAACAGATGCAAAATTATACCAATGTTTGCATATTCATATGAATTGGAAGAAGTCAGCAATTTTCTGCCTCACAGAATACTTTATTTGTGGTCCAAATAACTGTAACCACATAGCTTCAGTAATAAAATCATTGCTACATATCTTGCTACAAATGTAGTTTGAAGGCATCTTTCTCTTAAGAGGTAGACAAATTAGCTTGTTCATGCTTCTTGCAAGTGACCCTGCTCAGATACCCCCTGGTAGAGGGAATAAGAAGACTCAGCATCAAGGATTCAAGCACTTGGAATCAGGTAGTAGCAGAACATACTTCAGACAAATTTATTCAGGAAGTTAGGCATGACTTTATACTCCCTCCCAAGGTCCCATTGGCTCAGGAAGCTGACTGCTGCATGGTCCATTCCTTATTGGTGTCTCTGGTCAGGTGTCTCTTCATCATCAGTCTGTGGGCATAGGGGCAGGCTTGGCTCAGGGAGGAAATGCCTGTCACACATGCTCCATGCAGGCTGGCCTTGTCACCTAGACAGTGTGACTACAGCTTGGGTAGGCTGGCCATCAGATTCTACTACACATGCTGTAATCTACGTTATTGACATTTAGGTTTTTTTTTTTAATAGAAGGTATTGAATAGTTAAATTGTCTGACACGCAAAAGAACCTGTAGGGTAAATTTGGGTGAATATATATATATATATATATATATATATATATATATATATTTCTTTTCTTGAAATAGGATTTCTCTGTAAAACTGTCCTGGCTGTCCTGGAACTCACTCTGTCGACCAGCTTGGCCTCAAACTCAAAGAAATCCACCTGACTCTTCCTCCTGAGTACTGGGATTAAAGGTGTGTGCTACCACTGCCTGACTGATGTTACATACTTGATCATGGATGATTATTTCAATTTGGTGATGGTAACACCTATAAATATGTGCTTAAATAATTGTATGTAACCAAGAAGACTAGTTGAAAAGCCTTCCAGATTCAGATTTGTATAAAACTTTGGGTTATCTGAGTATTCTATAAATGTTATAGATTTTTATAAAGTTGGGCTGTTATTTTTAATGTTTATAAGTTTTCTGCCTGGAAATATAATATCCATCCTACTCTTGAACTACGTCTTCTAATTAATGGGCAAAGAATACAATGATCAACACAGAACGGAACTACAACACGAAGGTGGTACTCTCTTCAGAAAACATCAGGTTCAGTGCTCAGAGAAGAAAAGGAGTGGTGATAAGGAGTTACATTTCAAACTCCCCCATGAATGTGACCACCAACCTGGTGGACAGGAAGCCAGATCACTTTACCAGAAAAAGTAAATAAATAAATAATAATTAAAATTTATTCCTCTTCTGATTTAATTCTTTATGCAATTTTTCCTTGTTTTTTCCTCTAGTATAGGGCTTTTATAGAGTCATTTTAAAACAGAAGTATAAATGTTTAGTTTAAAATTTATTTTTCTCTTCTATTTTTCTAAATTTTATGCTTTTCCTTCATACTTAATTTTATAGATCAACTTTTGAATTTTATTTTCTTCTATTTTTTTTACATTTTAATTTTTCATAATGTCATACATGAATGCTACATATTTAGATTACATCTACTTCTGACCTTTTCACAACTCTTCCTGGATGCTCCCACACATACATCCCCTTTGAATTAAATTATTTTCTTTATTCCTTCCTTCTTTCTTTCCTTCCTTCCTTTCTATTTCCCTTACTACCACACTCTCTTTGTTTCTTTTTATGAATCATTTACTTCAATTAGTGATGTCTGTATGTCTATGGCTATAGAGTGCCACCTACTGGAACATGGACAATCCACCATGGACCACCCTGAAGAAGAAAACGGGCTGTTCCTCTCTAATAGCAATCATCTACCAATAGCTTCTCAGCTAGAGGTGGGGGCCATTAGTCTCTTCCATTTCTGTGCTGGAGTATTGACTAGCATGATCTTATTAAGGTTTTTTTCCAGCAGCCATAGATTCTGTGAGTTCAGAAGTTCAATGTTCCCGTAATGTTTAGGAGTGATAATTTCACAACCATCATTCCTACCTAGCCTCTGGCTTTTATAATTTTTCTGCCACATCAACGAGAAATTTTAACTGAGACTTGGGGAAAGGGAGAAGGACTGTGATATGGGTGTCACATTTAGGGAACAGCTCCTTTATCTTCCGCTCTTCCTATTGTCCAGTTGAGTTTCTGTATAACCTACCTTCAAAGAAATAAGCTTCTTCAAATGACAGGTGAAAGCCTCATGAGTCTATGGACATGAGGATATATAATTAGAAGCAAGTTTGTTACTACATCTCTTTAGAAAAAATAATAGTAGGATCTGTGATCTCTCAGGCCATGGGTTCTTAGCTAGGCTTATAGTACCACTAATGATGAGTTCCCAAAGTGAACTGGACCTTAAGTATAATTCGCAAGCTGTTGGCAACCTACATAATACACAGCCAGTATTATATCATAAGCGCACCTTGCCAGGCAGATCATTATTTTGGCTTTCAAGGTTCACAGGTGGGTGAGACTGTCAATGGCTTTTATCCCCCATCAACCAGCAAAGCACCTTCTGGCACTATGAAAGCTGGCAACTATGGAGATAATTTTCAGGTTCATGCTGGTTTGATTTCTCTGTGTCCTCTGATTATACTTCTGTTCATCTATGTCTATTGCTCTAACTTTACCTGGCAGTATATTGTTTCCTCTCTTCTACTTTCTCTTGTCTATTTACCTCTATTACTCTAATACTAACTGCTAGTCTCACACTGTTTATATTTTTCCATTTCCACTTTTAGTAACTAATGTATTAGTAAATTCAGTACAGTCTTGTGCTTTTATTCTTCAGGGGTTATTACTAACAAAATTAAAGGAAGGATCATTCCCAATGGGCAATTTTCATATTTTCCCAGTAAGTGCACCCACCAGTTGTAGCTGCTTCATCAGTTAATCTTCTATACTTTGTGGTGATGGACAATCTATATAGTGCCATGAACAGGCAAGTTGATATACAGAGTAGTAGCTGCAGCCAGTGTCAACAAGAAACACTGAAACCTCATTAAATCAAATCACACTTAAAAATGAATGAATATGGTTAATTTTTTAAAAATCCAAACACAATTCCTTGTATGTATGCTCATCTAACAGAAATCATTTAAAAAGAATTAGATTATAGATATAAGTAAATGAAATTTAAGGCTTAGAATTCAAGAGAGCGATGGCAAGCTCAGTAAATCAGAGGACATTTACAATTCCAGATAAATGGAATCAGAAAATAACAACAACAAACAATAAAAGAAAACTCTGTGGCCCTATTCAATCAAAATACTACATGTGCAGAACAATGAGAGAGAAAAGGCAACAAGAGTGTGAAAGAGACAGAGACAGAGATACAGAGAGAGAAATCGAAGATGTAAGAGAGAAGAAACAAGTCATTTACAAAGGTACTGTCACCAGAATAAAGCGGACTTTAGTAGAACCCCTAAAAGCTAGGACACATGGATCAATGTAAGGCAGTATCTATCTGCCAACCTGGATTACTCTATCCAGCCAAGATATGCTTCATAATTAAAAGAAAGCTTTTTCCCATAATAAAAACAAATTAAAGAAACTAACAAACATAAACCAAGCACTACAGTAGCTACTTGAAGGAATCACATATGAGAGAGAATGACCAACATCCAGATAGTCAAGGCACATCAATGACTATCCATCATCTTAAGCATTGGTATATCAAGAGGAAAAAATTGTTCTCAATATTGAAAAATAAAGGGTGATATTAATACCTCACTCTTTCAAACTGACAAGTCATTTTGAGAAATATAGCAATGAAAGAATCAATCCAATTTGAATGACCAATTGGATGTGACAGGAATCTGCAAAATACTCCACCCACAACTGTATAATACATGCAATCTCCAGAAGTTCATGGCCTTTCTCCAAATTTGTTCATACCAACCTCCATATTGAAATTAATTTTTAAAAATCTTGCACTCAAAATAAAATACAAAATTTGGTTTATTTTTCAAAAACTAATTTACATCTTGGCCCTTCCCTCCTCTCCTCCCCCACTCCATCCGTTCCTCTCTTGCTATCCACTCCTCCTCTATGTATGTTTAGTAAAAGTGAGGTCTTCTGTGAATATAATCAGAACATGTCATATGAATTTGCAATAATATTAAGCACCTCCTCATGTATTAAGGCTGAGAAAGGATACCCAATATGATTAGTAGGGTCCCCAAAGCCAAACTCTTAAAAAATGTAAAATAAATAAAATAACTCCTATACCCCATCATATTATAGTGGATTAAGATTTATAATTTATAAATAAAGAAACTCCAGAAAATGTACAAAATCATAGAAATTTTAAGATCAATAAGATATTTAGGCATTCATGATGAAATATTTTTAAATCTTAAAATGAATAAAAATGTAGCACACTAGAAGTTTTAGTGTATAGTGCAAGTAGCTCGAAGAAAGCCGGTAACTACAAATACTTGCTTTGAAAACTCAGTGAGATTTCAAGTAAAATTTAATGATAAAACTCAAGGTCTTAT